TGGGGAAGGATCTTGGCGGCGGTGGCGGGCCGGGCGTGGGCGGGTAGCCTCCAGCCTTACCCGTCCCAGCGTCTCCCCACCGCCGCACGCACATGCTTTCAGCCCGGACTGCGCAGCCCGCTGCGGCCTGAGCTCCCCGGGTTTGCTGCGCAACGCCGCGGCTCCGCGCTGAGTCACGGCGGGGAGGAAGCAGGACAGGACGGAGGGCCGCTCCTCCCCTTTTCTTGCTGGGACCCCTGATGCAAAGGATCAGGGCCCCTTTGCTTCGGCAGGGATCCCAAGAGGCAGCGAGGGGTGGGGGTCAGCTCATATTGCCTCAGGAGGGTTCCTCAAGCAGGGGAGGGGGGTTGGTTCCTGCCCTGGGAGATGGGGCGTCCCTGGAGAGGAGGGTACATCCCTTGGCAGCGCTTGATGCCCATTAACACTTTCCCTGTCTTTCCTTATCGGGTGACCTTGACTCTGAGCCTGGAATAGCTGCAGCCGTGTGAACGGACAGGAGCAGTTTTCAGGGGAAGGGGTGGGGCGCTTGCCTCTCCGCGTTCTTTCGCTGTATGAGCAGTGAGAATGGCAAACCGTGCCCCGTCTCTCTGCCCTTTCCTGGGCTTCTGAGGGTCCCCTTAGCTTTTTCCTAACATCCTCTTCCTAACATCCTCCCCCCACCTTAGAGGGAGAAGCCTGACCTTGGGATGTCCTTGAAACATTGGAGCCTGGGTAGCCCTGGAATCTTGGGTGGATTGGAAGGAACACCCCAGTAGCAGTCAGAAGATCTGGGTTCTAATCTCAGATCTGTGCCCTGGGTTGCTGTGTGGCTTGAAGAACAGACCTTACCCTTCTCTGGGCCCTTTCCAATGTGGGTACTGGGCCCTCTTCACAACCTTTACCTCCTAAAATACTTCGGTTTGGTTTTGTTTCTAGGCAAGGTGACCCCATGGCAAGTTGCGAGCCAGAAGGGTCCAGCTTCAACATGACCCACCTGTCCTTGGCTATTGCCTTTTCCTTTTCCCCAGTTGCCAGTGTGCAACCCCACCCTCAGCTGGGCAACACCCAGCAACAAAGAGTTAGGAAAGGTACAGGAGGCAGGCCTAGTATAGGGAAGTCGGGGCAGGGGGAGCTGGGCACGCGAAGTGCCCCAGGACTGCCGGATGTGGGGCAGGGGAGGTAGGGAACATTGGTCCCTACCTCCAGGTGAGGGGCCCTGCTCACTAGAAGACCAGGAGAAAGCCCAGCTAACCGGTCCTCCTCCATGTCTCCTCTCCCCAGGAACTTGCTACCACCAGCACCATGCCCTACCCATATCCAGCACTGACCCCGGAGCAGAAGAAGGAGCTGTCCGACATTGCTCACCGCATCGTGGCTCCGGGCAAGGGCATCCTGGCTGCAGATGAGTCCACTGGTGTGTGCAGGAGACAGAGTGGGAGGAGGGCCCAGGGATGGGGGTGGCAGGCACATCCCCTTATTCCCTTGTGATGCTCCTTTCCAGGAAGCATTGCCAAGCGGCTGCAGTCCATTGGCACCGAGAACACCGAGGAGAACCGGCGCTTCTACCGCCAGCTGCTGCTGACCGCTGACGATCGCGTGAATCCCTGCATTGGGGGTGTCATTCTCTTCCATGAGACTCTCTACCAGAAGGCGGATAATGGGCATCCCTTCCCCCAAGTTATCAAGTCCAAGGGTGGTGTTGTGGGCATCAAGGTGAGGGGGGCAGGGCCTCAGGATGGGAGATTTGAGATGAATCTGGTGGAAAAAAATCTAGATTAATGAGGCAGGGGATGAACACTGGGCTGGGAGCCTACAGACCGGGTGGAGTCTGCCCCAGACTGATGGTACCTATTGGCATTTAAAAAAAATTCTTTTTGCAGCTGGCTGGTATGGGGATCTGAACCCTTAAACCTTGGTGTTACAAGGCTGTGCTCTAACCAACTGCTAACTGGCCAGCCCCTCTATTGGCATTTTTAATCCTTACGATTCTAAAAGCAAGATGTCATCCCCATTTTACAGATGAAAAATAAGCTCAGGGAAGTGAAGTGTTCTGCCCACAGAGTTAGTAAGAGGTAGAGCCCAGGTCTCTCAACACCCAATTCAGTTAGCATTTGTTGTTAAATAATATCCCAGTGTCTCCTGTCTGCACTGGATACTGTAACTAAGTGAAAATATTTGCAACCCCTGAGATGATGCTTGAGAGATTGGGTAAAGGTGAGGAAAACAGGCTAGAGAGGAGGAATCTCCCATCCTATATTGTTGCCTCTGCCCCAACAGGTAGACAAGGGCGTGGTCCCTCTGGCAGGAACAAACGGCGAGACTACCACCCAAGGTGAGAACTGTTTGGAAGTGAGGGGAGCCATATGCTCCTGTCCCTACCATGCTCTAACTCCCCGTCTCCTCTTCAGGGCTGGATGGGCTGTCTGAGCGCTGTGCGCAGTACAAGAAGGATGGAGCTGACTTCGCCAAGTGGCGTTGTGTGCTGAAGATTGGGGAACACACCCCCTCAGCCCTTGCCATCATGGAAAATGCCAACGTTCTGGCCCGTTATGCCAGCATCTGCCAGCAGGTGGGCCTGCAGGCCCCCAAGAGGGCACCTCTCAGCTCCTTTGGTTCCAGTATAAGCTAGCTTGTCACCATCTGTCAGGATATCTACCTCCTCCAAGGCAACTGTTCCTCATACCCATGAAGTATCAGGCTCAGTTTGTGGAAGGCACTCAAGGGCTATGCAAGGCAGAGGGGCAGAATAGGGCTGGTGCGGATGGGTCTGAGGAGGTGCCTGGCCTATAATCCACCAAGGGCTTGGGAGGCCATGGCTCTCTGTTGTCACTGAGACAAGATCTTGGCCAGTGGCTGTGGAGAGCTGTAGGTGGGGCTTTGAGTTAGGAGGCCTAATGGCTACCCTGTGCCTCACCCCATAGAATGGCATTGTGCCCATCGTGGAGCCTGAGATCCTCCCTGATGGGGACCATGACTTGAAGCGCTGTCAGTATGTAACCGAGAAGGTAGGTGGCCTGTCCACCTGGCCAGTGTGGTGGGCTGGGCAGCTGGGCCAGTGGCCCTGGGGCTAAAACCCTGTCCTCTACCTCACTCCTCTTTGGTCCTGTCCACTCTAGGTGCTGGCAGCTGTCTACAAGGCTTTAAGTGACCACCATATCTACCTGGAAGGCACCTTGCTGAAGCCCAATATGGTAACTCCAGGCCACGCCTGCACCCAGAAGTATTCTCCAGAGGAGATTGCCATGGCAACTGTCACGGCACTGCGCCGCACAGTGCCCCCCGCTGTCACTGGTGAGGCACACACCCTCATCTTGGCCCGTGGGGAGGTAGATGAACTGTACCCACAGCCCTTATGCCCATTGGTCTGTAGCAGGGCAGCTTCTAAGGCTCCTTCCAGTCCCCTGGGTCTCTGACCACAACCTCCTTATCTTGCCCCTTGCTTTATAGGGATCACCTTCCTGTCAGGAGGCCAAAGCGAGGAGGAGGCATCCATCAACCTCAATGCCATCAACAAATGCCCCCTGCTGAAGCCATGGGCCCTGACCTTCTCCTATGGCCGAGCCCTGCAGGCCTCTGCCCTGAAAGCCTGGGGTGGGAAGAAGGAGAACCTGAAGGCCGCCCAGGAGGAGTATATCAAGCGTGCCCTGGTAAGGATTGGGTGGAAGGCGGGTAGGATGCCTGGGCAGATGGGACTCTGAGGAGAGCCCATCTCACTCTGGCTTCTCTCCCCTCTTAGGCCAACAGCCTCGCCTGTCAAGGGAAGTACACCCCAAGTGGTCAGGCTGGGGCCGCAGCCAGCGAGTCCCTCTTCGTCTCTAACCATGCCTACTAAGCGGAGGTGTTCCGAGGCTGCCCCACAACACTCCAGGCCCCCACCCCCTCCCACACTCACTCCTGAAGAGGGGGCCTCATCTGGGGCTCCAGGCTGTCTTTCCCATCGCTCTTGGCCTCCCTTGTGACAGTGGTGTGCGGTATTGTCTGTGTATGCTAACGCTATCACCCTTTCTAGCCCACTGCCAATAAACAACTATTTAAGGGGGAATCTGTTGTCAGTGTCTTGTGGTGTCAAGGATGGGGAAGGGCCTGGGGAGGGGGCAGAGCCCAGGAGAAGGAAGAGCCCTTGTTTTGTGCTCTTCATTCCTGGGTAGGAAACAGGTGAAAGGTGAAAGGACCTTCCTGCTCTGTTTTATATTTGCACAGGGCTTTGAGAAAGGCAGAGAGCTTGTGCAATTTACTTCTAGCCACTACAGCCTCCGCCCCTTCAACTAGCAACATCTGATAGGGCTTGTGGTTGGGGAGTGCGGGTGTAAACTGCTCAAGTGTTAGGGGGCTGCGGCCTCAGCCTCACTTTTAGGCCCAGAACTCAAGAGTGTAGGAAGCCCCCATGACCAAAACAGCCACTGATAAGCTGACTTCTGAGTGCTACGGGCCAGGAAGCGTTGTGATAGGTGTTCTGTACGAGTAGGTGCTGTTATTTCCAATTTATGCTGAAGGCTGTCTTGCCCAGGATTGCAGTGTTTGTTGGTGGAAACAGGTTTACTAATGCACATCTCCTTAATCTACACTACTGAGTTTTCTGTTTCCCCACCTTAACAGGAGATGGAATTAGAAATGCTTTGTTAATCTCTTTTGGGCTGTGGTACCCCTTGAGGAACCTGGAATCCCCTCCAAGACCCCCCTCTGCAATGCAGATACACACAGAAGCTCAACTGTGGCGTTCAGGTTCCAAACTAAAAACTGAGCCTCTGTAGCTGCTGCATTCCATGAAGCCAGATTGAGGGCTCTGCACTTACCCCTAGGCCTCGCCTCAAACACTTCCCCAATCACTCAGACTGGAGTGTAGCAGTAACTTCATCAGGTCTTAACTGCTGCAGATCCTAGCTAGAACTAGGGAACTAGTTCTGCCACTTCCAAAATTTCCTGCAACCTCCTCATCCCCAGTCTTTCCTAGTATGGGCCCTTTCCTCTCTTGAGGTCACCTCTCAAGGAAAAAATCTTGACCTTTCTGATCTCCCTGGACCTACAGGATTCCTGCAGTGATCCTCAAAGCTCACTGAGGATCTTATAGAAGTTTAAAAACTTGGTCCTTACCTTCTCTCTGCACATTTATATCTATTGCCTACATCCAAAACCAAACCCATCCCTAGTACCCTTCCAAACTTTGTCCTCTCTTCTCTGCCTAGCCTCATTCACCTCTCTGGGAAACAAAATCTGAAGTAAAACAAGTAAGAATTGAGGGTCAGTAGGAGATAGCAAAAGGGATTTTCCAAAAGAGCATCATGTGCAAAGCCTCAGAGATTGGAAAGGTTGAAGATCAATAGCTTCCTCTGGGCTGGCAGGTTATCTCAGTTGGTTACAGCGTGGTGCTGATTACACCAAGTTCCAGGGTTCCATTCCTGTACCGGCCAGCTGCTCCCCAGAAATAAAGAAAAGTATAAATAGCTTCTTCTGCCTGCAGCAAAAGAGACTAGGGAAGCAGAGGTCTTCAAATGCCAGTTTGGGGAGTTTTGGACTTCTTAATTTTATGACAATTTGAGTTCCAGAAAGAGTAAGAGATAAAAGAAAACTAGAACTGAGAACACAGCTTTCCTGGGTTCTAATTTCAGCCTTGATTCAAATCCCAAATTATTAACTATGCAACCATGAATAAGTTATTTAACCTCTCTGAGCCAGTTATGTCCTCTTAAAAAAAGAATAAAACTTTCAGGGCCCGCTCCGTGGCGCACTCGGTAGAGTGCGGTGCTTGGGAGCGGGGCGGCGCTCCCGCCGAGGGTTCGGATCCCATATAGAGACCGGTCTGCTCACTGGTTGAGCGCGGTGCGGGTGCGACACCAAGGGTTGCGATCCCGTTGCCGGTCACGAAAAAAGACAAAAAGAAAAAAAACAAAACAACAACAACAACGAAAAAGAATAAAACTTTCAGTCAACAGAAAGCAACTGAGGGGTGTCGAGGGGACCATACTGGAATCAGGAAGGTCATGCCTGAGGCACAGGCGTGGTGTAGAAGGTTAGACTCCTTTTTGCCCCTTAACTGTGGAGTCCTCTGTGACATAGATTTCTATGGGGCCGTGAGGAGAGATCTGGCCTGGTATTCCTTCATCCCTTGGACAAGTATTTATGTATGCCCCCTGTGCCAGACCTTACTCGAAGTGCTGGGGCTGCAAAGGTGAACAAGACAGTTTCATCCCCCAAGGACGGTAGTGGGGGACGCGGACTAAAACGGGTCAACAAAGATGCGTAACATGAAGTTCCAAGGTCTAGCCCAGCTCAGCTTGTTTCCCTAACCGAAATGGGAGGCGGCTGGACTGGGCCTCCAACAGTCCTCACATCGCCAGTTAGACCAGCACCCCGCAATTCCCGTCAGCCCCGCCGCCGCGACGCGAACATTCCTCCAGAGGCGGGGCGCGCCGCGAAAGGGGCGGGGCGTATATGACGCCACGACCGGCGCACGCCGGAACTGGCCTCCCTCTGCTTCCGCGCGGGGCCGGAAGTAGAAGCGGCTGTGGCGGCGGCCCAAAGCGGAGGGAAGGAAGGAGGTAGCGACCCGGAGAGTCGGAGCCGGAGTCGCAGCAGCGGTAATAGTCTGAGACCCCTCTGGGCCACCGTCCTCAGCGCGGGCCGCGGGGTTCGACGGAAGTTAGCCGGGGCCTTGGGACGCTGAGGGTCCCGGGGCCGATGTGAGGGGAGGCGGGGGCGGGGGGGGGCCCGGCTAGCCCCAGAATCGAGTTGCCACTCCCGCGTCCCGCATGGACACTCTGATCCGCGGGCTCATCTTCGACTTTCCCAGGAGACCCCTGTGCGGTGCGGAGGGGGCGGCGGCCCCAACTCTGACCCGCGCCGGGGGGTGGGGCCATGGCGGAGATCAGCGACCTGGACCGGCAGATCGAGCAGCTGCGGCGCTGCGAGCTCATCAAGGAGAGCGAAGTAAAGGCCCTGTGCGCTAAGGCCAGGTGAGCCCGGCGGGAAGGGAGGCCAAGCCGCCGCCCTGGGGTTCCGGCCTGGGACAAACCTAGCTGAGAACTTTGGGTTTGCCACATGCTGGAAGCCTTCCCAGAAAGGAGCAGAATAGGGCCTCTTCCCTCGAGGAACAGCAGACCCGGACGAAAACAAGTATTAGATGATATGTTTCCGCTGGAGTAAAAGAGTTACGGAAAGTACTTAGGAAACTCAGGGAAACAAGCCCATCTGTCTGGGGGGAACAGAGAAGGCACCTTGGAGGAGCTGAAGTCTGGGACAAGACTTGAAGAAGGTGGTAAAGAGAAGTGTCAGCAAGGACAAAAATTCAAGGCAGGAAAGCTAAGGACCCTGTGCTTTATGAAATTCTTCTAATTCCAACAAGACCCCTTAAGGGTAGGTGGTATTGTACCCATTTTACAGGTGAGAACTCTCATGTTCAAAGTTACTAGGAAGTAAGGAATGGAGTCTGAAGCTAGTTCTCTGTGTCCTTTCCCTTTGCAGGCCATAATGCAAGAAGGTGGAGTTGGATCACTCTGTGTTCAGTGCGGGAGCCTAAGAAATTGTAGTAAATAAGCCAGAGTAGAATTAAGCATGATGTGAAGGGAGGCCCAACTCAGAGTTCTACGGGAAGTAGAATGATGTAGTGGTTAAGGGTCCAGGTTTGGGAATTTGATGGCTCTAGGTTTGAATGTGAGCTCTGCCACTTACTAGCTGTGTTGGTGATTTTGAGGTGTCTGAGACTCGGTTTTTTTATTTGCAAAGTGGAGATAATAGTATTTAATAAGATGGCTGTGAAGATTCAGTGAGTTGGTGCTGGAGATGAACTTAGCATAGTGTTTGGTACAATGTAAAAGCTCGACAGTCACCAGGTGTTATTGTTATTACCATGTTGGAAGAGAGCAATGATAGTATGGGCTGAAACCTCAGAGAAGGTTGGGCTTTGAAGGATGAAGGTAATTTGGCTAGCTGATGGGGACAGGGCCAGTGAGGGCCAGTGAGGAAGGACATTTCATGCAGGATGAGAGTAGGAATGGAGGCCCTGAGATGTTTGGGCAACAGTGAGGGGACTAATTACCTGCTTCCTCTGGGGAACTGTTTGGTTGTGGCTTCCAAGCTGGAGAATTGTGGGAAAAGAACCAGCAGAGTTACCCTATGTGTACTGAACAGTAGACCCACTATTAGCCTGGCCCTGTATTGGCAAAAAAACTTATATCCTTTTCCTCCCCTCAGCAATCCTGTGAGGTTGGCATCATTTGCTCTGTTTTACAGAAGAAGCAGCCAAGACTACTAGAGGCTTAGTGACTTGACTGAGGTCACCCAGTGAGGATGTGGCAGAGCTGGGTTCTGTTGCCATCGGGCTCTTCGCCTGGCTCTACCCCACACAGACAGACTGTCTGCTTCCAGACAGGTCCTGTATGGGTTGGATGAACAGGCTAGGCCTCCTTGTAAGTGACTGTCTGTGGCTCTTCTGTTTTGGCATCTCAAGGAAATCTCCCCGACCAGACCAGCCCTGTGGTGTTTTTAGTTGTCTTCTCTCCTTCAGTCCTCATTGGCGTTTTTAGGAACTTAAATTAATTGTTGCCTGATACTATTCTTCCCCCCGCCCCTGTAAGTCTTATCTCCCCCACAGGGCCTGGCTCAGTGTGCTGGTGATGATAGATAATGTTTGTGGGGTTTTTTTGTTTTCTTTTTTTTATAAAGATGACTGGTAAGGGCCGGCCTGTGGCTCACTCGGGAGAGTGCGGTGCCGATAACACCAAGGCCACGGGTTCGGATCCTATATAGGGATGGCCGGTTTGCTCACTGGCTGAGCGTGGTGCTGACAACACCAAGCCAAGGGTTGAGATCGCCTTACCGGTCATCTTTTTAAAAAAAAGAACCCGTGGCCTTGGTGTTATCAGCACCGCACTCTCCCGAGTGAGCCACGGGCCAGCCCGATAGATAATGTTTGGATAGCGTGCTGGAGTTTTCAGAATAACAGACAAGTTAGGGCCAGCCCATGGCTAGGGAGAATGGGATGCTGATAACACTAAGGCCATGGGTTCGGATCCCTATATAGGGATGGCCGGTTTGCTCACTTCAGAG